TCCAAAAAAAAAGTAAAGAAAATTTTTCAAGTGTCCGAAGAACCAAAGGGATTTCTGACTAGGGTAACTCAGTGCAGAGTAAGCATGGGAAATACTTCCTCTTCTCCTGATTATGAATCTTACATGCGAATCTTATAGACTCTACTCAAGAGCTCTGGGGTTAAGGTAAAAGACTACTTTCGAAGAACTTTTTTTACCTGGTCCGTAAGCATTGCTATTGGTTTATTCCCACTGGAAAAAAAATGCTTTCAACTATAAATGATGGAAATGCAGTTGTTCAAGCACAGAGGAGGGCTCCCCAGCAAGGAGACACCGTTCCTTTATCTGTAGGGTCCCTGTGCAACCTCATCTTTTCAGCTTTAGAGTCACTTCAGCCAGAATCTGGGGGAGGAACTCCATCTAATCAGATGGGATCACACAGAGAGAAAACAAATGGATTCTCCGGAGGGCGCTTCAGGTTTAGAGTCCACCACCTACAAATGAGGAATCCTCTTCCCCACCTAAAGAATGGGGATCTAATGAGCCTTCTTCTAAAAATTCAGCTGCTCGCTCAGCGTGATACCCCATGCAAGCTGAAGCTCCACGATATGAAAACTATAAAGAAACATTGTACATAGGCCAACTTCTGTAAAACCTATAGCTCCTCCTTTTTCTTCTAATAATTCTTTTCATGATCTCTCTGCTAAGACTGTTACTGTCCCTTATTCCCCTATGATACGAGCCCCTTTTCTCTTACTGAGCTTAAACGAATTAAAACTGATTTGTGTAATTGATTGTTTTTCTGACAGTCCTGATAAATACATGGCTGGATTTCAACATGTTTCTTTGACTTTTGAACAGATACTAAGCAACAATTCAAGACCTGCAATTATGGGGTTAAAATGTCAGTTCTCGGGACCAGCAGTTAGCGTAATGGCTATGTCGGTGAACTCCCACATAGTCGACCATGGTTCGAGTCCCGGACCCGGTGGCTTAAACTCACGCCGGGTGCGTGTGCGTGTGTGCCCAAGATCCCCAGAGGAGACTGGAGGAGAAGGGATTGTGGCGTGGCCATCCTCCCTGGAGGGTGATTTCTTGCTTTCTGTCTCTCTATCTCTGTCTTTCTGGCGAGTGCAAGTGCCCTATAGCAAAAACCTCTCAAAAAAAAAAGAAAAGAAAAAATATCAGTTCTCAGTTCCGCAGTACCTTCAAGAATAGTCAAGGTTATTTAAAAACTGTCTTTTTTTCTAACAAAGTCTGAGGTAAGAAGTAAACATCTAAGGGTTAAGCTCTAAAATTCTCTTAAAGAAAAAATAAGTATGGAGAACTTTCCAAAGATTCTGAAATGTTTGTTGGCGTGAGCATGTGTGTACCTATGTTATGCGTTGTATGTCATGTGTCTGTGTCATAAAAGGCCTTAAAGGATTCCATTCAATTTGGCTAATAAATAAGAGTGTGTATACAAATTAATTTAAAAGCTTTTCAAGTTTATGTGACTAAATCTTTGACAAATAGCTGGCTTCAAATATGATTTTTTTTTAAGTAATAAAAATAAATAAATAAAAAGGGTTAATAAGTGAAGATCTTTACAGTTTCCAACAGACATTTTGTCCAAGATTCTATTGGTCAGGCAACATCTTGGGGTTGGTTTTATAAAACATCTGGTATTTACATGTTATGTGGTATATGTGACATGACAGATGTCTAGCTAACAGAAAAGATGAATTAATTACTAGACTTCTTCTTGGTTTTTACAGGTAATCAATACATAACGGTTAAAGAAAATTTAAATTATAACTGGGGTATTTACAAGTGAAGTTTTCAGATAATCTTAGCTCTTAAAGCTGTGCCTAATTAAAATAATAAGGGTTCATAAAATGTCTAAATCATCTTAAGACCAGCAGATGGCATAATGGCTATGTTGCTGGACTCCTATGCAGTCGACTGCGGTTCAAGTTCCAGACCCAGTGGCTTAAATTTATGTCAGGTGCGTGTGTGTGTGTGCCCAAGATCCCAAGAGGAGAATGGAGGAGAAGGGATTGCAGTGTGGCCATTACCTCTGGGGCGTGATTTCTCACTTTCTGTTTCTCTCTGTCTTTCTGGCGAGCGCACACACCCTATAGCAAAAACTTCTCCCCCCCAAAAAAATAAAAATAAAATTTCTAAGTCATCTTTAAATAAGGTAATAGGCTTTTGATTAATGTGAAGTTTAAATATTTCTACCGTCACCCTTTAAATTTAACAAAAGTGAAAGATACTGGGTTACATCTTTTTAAAAATTATTTTATTTATTCATTCATTCATTTTAACCTGAACAGAGACAAAGAGAAGGAAAGCGAGAAAGCAGGCCACCAGGTCCGGGACTCAAACCATGGTCGGCCATGTGGGAGTGTCCAGCACCTTAACCACCACACCACCTGCTGGTCCCCTGGGTTAAATCTTTTAATAAGATTGTTCTACATTGGGGCAATTTGTTCACAACAGTTTCTAAATTACAAAATTGGGTAAGCTGAGAAACATGCTGAGGTGAATCAGGATGAGTATTAGCTAATACTTCCTTTTTAAAAAATAATTATTTTATTTAACTTTATTTTAGTTTGACTGGAGAGGAGAGAGAGAGAGAGAACAAGTGGGAGAGAGGGGAAGAAAAAAAGTCAGCTGCCAGGTCTGGGACTCAAACTGCGATTGACCATGTGCGAGTCCATGCCACCTGCCGGCCGGCCCCTCAGTCCTTCCTATGGGAGTGTCATGGACTAGAGCCCTATGGGGTTTTTGCTCGTCTACGAATTTCATTAGAAGACCTGAGATAATGTCTCCTCACCATCTAGTAGTACCTCAGCTAACAGCACTGTGTTTGGCATGGTGGAAGACTGTCTCCCTCAAGCTCTCATTTAGCTTTTGGACCGAATTTAGAACCTTGTCACTGCCCTCCACCCTCTTCATGCTTGGACAGGCACATACTAAATACCCTGAATTTCTCACACCCGGTGTGAGTTTTAAGTCGCTGGGTCTGGGACTCGAACCATGGTTGACTACATCGGAGTCCAGCAAAGTAACCACTATGCCATCTGCTGGTCCTCCTGGTCTGTTTTTCAAGTCACAGAGTCTGGGATTCAAACCTTGCAGTCAGCCATGTTTGATCCAGCCACCTTAACCACTAAGCCACCTAGGAGGCCCAAGTTTATTTATTTGTTTCTTCCATGAGAGAGAGAGAGAGAGACAGAGATAGAGAGGGAGAGACGGGCATCTCCAACAGGGTCTTCATGCCATGACCCACCCTCCCCACCCCAGTGTCAACCGACCTAGATCATGGATGTGCTCCTGCCTGGCATGCCTGGGTCCCAGTATATGAGCCAAGGCCCTTTCCACGTGGCCCGAGCTCGTTACTGCTGCACCACCAACGTGTTTTAAGTCTCACTGTGTTGCCCACACCAGGATTGAGCTTGAGGGCCTCCTGCCTCAGCCTCCCAGGTTGCTGGGATCACAGCATACACCCCAATTGTGGCCCTTGGGTTGGCCTGGGAATAGAACCCAGGCCTCCTATGTGGTCCCAGCCTGCAGAGCAACAGTGTCTTCGCACCACCACAGCTAGGCCCTCTCCATTTTAACTTGCTTTTCCGTGACAAAGGGTTTTCTCCCACATTTCCGGATTGTTATTTTTTGTTTGTTTGTTTTGTCTTTTTTTGTTTTGGTTTGTTTTGTTTTGAGCTGGTCTTGGGCAGTGTGGGGGTCATCTACAGGGTTTAGGTTTTGTGGAAGAATGACTAGATTTATAACACAGGCCCCACAAAGTTCTTCAGAATTAACATACCAGAGAGAATTCCAGATCCTCAGTTTCAGCA